AGTCAGTATCACTCAGGGAGCAGGAGTTAGTGTCACTCAGGGAGCAGGAGTCAGTGTCACTCAGGGAGCAGGGGTCAGTGTCACTTAGGGAGCTGGGGTCAGTGTGCCTCAGGGAGTTGGAGTCAGTGTCACAGATGATGAAGTTGAGACAGGGAATTGGAGGTGGTGACCAGTCTTCTGCAGTGGAATTAAACAATGGACATGTAAACATCACTTAGAAGTTGTGTTTTCCAAAAACACTCCTCTCTACCAAGGAGTTAAGGCTGTATGTTTCCACTTCCTCACAGGGACCTCTATGTCATGGGAAACTCCTTGCTTCGAATGAGGAGGAGAGAATGCCCCTTGGTGTCAGGAACAGACCTCTGAACCTGCTGGTGTGCTCCGGGTGCCTGCGTGACTGGGAGCACGCTCTGGGCCGCCAAGCCAGCTCCACATTCGGCTCAGTTGCTCAAAATAGCTCAGTTGTGTTCACTCTGCCTTCCTGTCTGGAAGGGACACAAGCTTTGCTTCTGTCCCTTTAGAATCAGCTCTGGTGGTGGGAGGCAGGGCAGCAAGTTGGGGCAGCTCCAGGGACCCTGCTCTATCTAGGTTGTTTCTGTCATAGTGTCTCCAATGGGGAAGAAGTCAACCTCACCCCACTCCATTTGTGAGCACCCCTGGTGGCGCAGTGGTTAAGCATTGGGCTGCTCACCTCAAGGTCAGCCGTTTAAAACCACCAGCAGCTCTGCAGAAGAGAGACAAGGCTTTCTACTCCCACAGAATTAGTCTTGGGAACCCACAGGAGTAGTTCTTCTCTGTCCTACAGGGTCTCCAAGAGTCAGAATCGCAGTAAGTTTGGGGCTGTGTTTGTTTGTTTTCATTAAAGAAAGGAAAGAAAGGTCCGCCACCCAAATTACTGGCCAATTCTAAATCACGTATAAAAATGGGTGCGGAATGCCGTTAGAGATAAACGGTCGGTAGGGTTCAGCTACCAAAGATGGACCTGCCCCAGGTTGTCCCCCAGTGCCTTCTGCTGCATGGAGGCGCTGTGGTGAGAGGAAGCGTCTTCTCGGGCAGGAAGATGCTAACCCTGCATCCTTCGTCTTTCCAGTGTCCAGAATCTATATAAATCAGAATGGCCAGTGTGTGCTCTGGAAGCCGTGCACTGTCAGGTGGGAGCCGGGCCTCCTTACCTTGTGATATGTGAGACCCATGTCGTGTGACTGGGTCCACCCATCGGGACCTGCAGGAGAAGAAACTGTCCCCAGAAGCCCCGCTGCACCCCTTGGCTGCCCCTCCCCTCCTGTGACAGGTCACTTTCCACCTCTAGCCTCCATATTCTCCCGTGGACGGGGCCTTGTGGCACAGTGGGTAAGCCCTGGACTCCTCTAGTGGAAAGGGGCCGGTTTGAACCCACCAGTGGCCCCACTGGAGAAAGACCTGGTGGTCTGCTCCCATCGTGTCGACGGCCCACACACCCCGAGGGGCCGCTCCGCTCCGTGCCATGAGGTCTAGGAGTCCGGCAGCATTCCCACGCTGCCTTTCCAAACCGGGCCAGCCCTGTTCAGCACAGGGATGGAAAGCTCTCCCACAGGGTGTGAGGCAGACTTGGGGTGCAGTGATCCTCGGGGGGCTCCGTAAAGAACTGGCACACCCCGTCCAGCTCGGTGTAGAAGGTTTCAGCTGTCTGCAAGCACGCAGCTCTCCTGGCCCAGCGCCTCTCCCTCAGGCTGCTGGGCTGTGCTCGGCTTTGTCGGGGCTGCCCACTTGGCTTCCTGTCAGCTGCTGTCCTCTGCCCCCCGTGGGGACTGTCACAACGTGAGCCCAGTGGCTGAGAAGGGGTGGCATACCAGAGTCAGGAGCTACTTAGGGACACGGCTGGCTGTGCTCCCTCTGTCAAGTTGTCTCCTTTACTAGGATGAAGTCCTCAAAGGTCTGGTCCCCCAACATTGGCCCTGAAGGCACTGATCTTCCTTCCTCCTTAGGCCTTGTCTTCCCCCGAGCCCCGCACGACCCCTCAGAGTTCCCCACACAGACCCTCGCACTCTCCCTCTGCCGTCCCCAAACTGGACACGCTCAGCCTCCTCACTACAAGGTCATTCTGTGGACAGCAGCGTCTAAGAGGGCGGTGGTGTCAGCATGCGATGCTGGCCGCTACGGAAGGCTCTTGGTCCCCATCGTAGCCCTTGAGATGCTCCTTGTGGGCCATTTTCTCTCTCTCTCTCTCTCTCTCTCTCTCTCTCTCTCTCTCTCTCTCACACACACACACACACACACCCGCCCCTGCCCCTCGGCTGCCGCGCAAGTGGGACCTGGCTCTCTGGCAGTCCTTTCTCTCCAGCTCCCCCAAGAGCTTGCTGACCGGGAACAGAGGCCTTTGCTGGGAAGGAGTTATTGCAAAGACCTCTCCGGCGTGCCACTAAGCCTTGTCTCCTTTGTCTGCAGACCTAGCGGGACCCAGCCATTGCCGCCCAAGCCTAATTCTTTTCATTAAAACAACGTCTTATTTTATTGTTGCTTTCTTTTACAGGGTTTAACCTTTTCTTCCCTTTGTTGATTGGTTTGTGTGTCTGTTTTGTGTTGCTTGTTACCCACCCCCACGCCACCCCCGCCCACAGGGCCCTGTCTTTCCTTTGCAGCAGACCACTGCCGCCGGCCCCCGTGGTTTTCTGTGGCTTCGCATTTTCTGTTTGTCCTCGCCCTGTGTGTGCCTCCGTGGCCTCTCCACGGCCCCCCGTTTGCTCACCCTCTTTTGTTTATTGCAGACCACCCCTATAATGACTCGTCCTTAAGAAACCACCCTGACATGTACAGTGGTGAGTCGCTGCAGTGACCTGGGAGTAACCTTGCCTGTCCTAACCCCAGTTTGCCTAACCTGACTGATACCACACGGAATTAACTCCTGCTGCTGGGCAGGGCTGACAGGCCAGACCCCCACCACGCTGCCCACTGGAAGAAAGGTGGCCTGTTTGGGAGTTCGAGGTTGCTCAGGTCAGAAGGTGGAGCGGAGGTGTGTGGCCTCTAGTGGCTGGATTCTAGACACGTTGTTCAAACCAGGGTAGCACT